CAGGAGCGCGACGCCGGGCGAAGGGTGTTGCTCCCGCGCGACCTGCAGCAATTCGAGCACGCGGTTCGCCGCTTGCGCGCCATTCACCTCCTTGTCGACCTGCAGGAATGCCGCCGCTAGCACCGCCAAGTCAGGCAGCGCGACCTGCACGCCGGCCTGGCGGAGGGTGCGGTAGAGAGTCCACGCGACACCACCGTTGCGGCATTTTGACACCGATTCGATTGCGCTGCGCACCTCGGACGCTGTCGGCAGTGGAGGCAGATCTCGGGCCACGCGGCCGGAGCCCTGGCCAGGCGGCCTCGCCTCGAAACGCTGCCTCATCTGCTGTATGACACGATCCGCCGCTGCCACCGGCGACTCGGGCCGCTGCTGCTGTCCGCCTCTGTGCCTTGCGCCACAGAGGCGGACAGCAGCGTGGCGAGGCGCCGCTCTGGTGAAGAGTGCGCGTGAGGAGCGCATGTAGAGTGGAGAGAGCCGTGGATGCCGAGACAAGTCGCTTTTCAAAAAGAATTTTCGCATGTTTCTCCCTTGGTTGTATTTTTCTTTCTTTCTTTCTTTCTCTCCCGACACTGGGCACGGGACTGGCGCGCTGGCACTGACCCACAAAAAGAATTTTCCTTAGTTTGATTGTTTGCGACTTCAACGGTAGTTCCAACCGTTTTCGGCCGCGGCTCATTCCTAGCCCACGAACTGCTGGGGGGTGCCCACCACATGCTAGGGGGGGGGTCCCGACCCCCCCAGAGGCTTCACCACATGCTAGGGGGGGGGTCCCGACCCCCCCAGAGGCTTCACCACATGCTAGGGGGGGGGTGGAGCGTGAGCAGAAGCACGCCCCCCTCCCTGGAAGCGATGTCCGCCTGCTCCCGCCTTTCGGCGCAACTCTGCCCTCCTCGCGGCATATTTTGGCCCCTTGAGTTTATCGAGCTCTCCTCGCGCAAGGATGACTCTTCTGACGCCCACTCCGATCATTTGCCTCCAAGCCATGTCGTTGCTCAGGCCCACTCTCGTTTCGAGCACTTGTACCTCCACCGCGATGATGTTGGCGCTGGGGTCCCCTTTGGGTGCATCGTGACAGCTGACGACGAGATTGCCACTGGTGTTTCGTCCTCCTCGGTCGTCTTCCCCCTCTTCTTTGAGATCTGGAATTCTTTTCTTCGCCACACGATTCTTCTTCGGCGGAGCAGGTATTTTGGCGGTTGTTTTGACGGGCCGCGTTCGTTTGGGCCCTTACACGCCGCTCAACCAACATGGTGCGCTCGCAGCCTCCGCGCCGTTCGAGCCCGACCGCCATCCGCCTCCACGCGCCTCCGCCTCGGCTCTGCAGGGCAAGCGGGGAGTGTCGGCCGACGAAAAGAAGCAGCGCATGCTCGGCATGTTTCACGCTTCGCGTGCAGTGTACACCATGAAGGACATCGAACGCGACGCGCCCAAGTGACCCTCCTCCCCGCCAGTACGGCCGGCGCACTCGCACCGAACGCCGGGCCGCGGTCGTCGCAGGCTCGGCATCATCTCCAACGCAGTCAAGGACGTGCTCAAGGAGCTCGTGTGCGACGACCTCGTGCACGAGGAGAAGGTCGGCATCTCGACCTACTAC